CAAATCTGACTTGGAGACCATTAATCATGTTTTGCTTCTTGGCCCCTTTAGCTGGAAAATTTGGTCAGCTATCATTGACTGGTGGGGTCTTTTTTGGGTGTGCCCTGGCTCTGTTGTGGATTTGTTTGATTGGTGGCTTGGCACAAAATTTAAGAAGAAAGAACTACAGATATGGAAAGTCATCCCACTTGCTGTTGTTTGGTCAATTTGGAAGCTCAGAAATGATTGTGTTGTCAACAGTGCCCAGCTCAACTTCTTGGAGATCATTGAGCTTATTAAGGTTAGAATCGCAGTTTGGTTGAAAAACCACTCTTATGGTAATACAAATTCCATCCAAGATTTTGTTTCCAATCTGAATCAGATCAGGTTGTGTATTTGAGTGCTGCTGTTTTGGTTGTTCTGTTCTGCTGTGTTGGTCATCATCTGTGTTAGTTGTTCTGTTCTGCTGCGTTGTCATCATCTGTGCTATGTTCTGTTCTGCTGCGTTGTTCTGTTCTGTTGGTGGCATTCTAGTGATGAGTTCTATTATGTTGGTATTGAGTTCTATTCTGTTATGGTAGGCTAAATGCTGGTTAAGGTGTGTTTTGGTGATGACTTCAACTACAGCAGCTGTTGGTTGAGGCTGCCGGTTGGAGTTCTGTTTATGTTCTGTTTCATGGTTTTGGTTTTGGTCTGCTGTAATTGAAGTCATGTTGAAGTCTGTTGAAGTCTTTTGTACGCTGCTGTTCTATTATATGCTATTGTCCTATGGCAGCATACAACAGATGTTGTATGACTCGCAGTATGTGATCATTTGTGATGCATATTGCTGTCCTATGGCAGCATACAGCAGTTGCTGGTATTGAGGTTCTGTGTTGGGTGCAATATGTTCTGTTTCTACCTTGGGTGCTATTGGGTGCAATATGTGGCTACCTTGGGTGTATGATTATAGAAGACATGGATACATCAGCTGCTAGTGTAAGGGTGTTACCTTGGGTGCAATATGTGGCTACGTTGGGTGATTGTGCTTACTCCTTGGTGTTTGTTGGGGTTGAGTTGGCAGACTTGGAAGGCTGAGGCTGCTCTGGTTTGTGCAGATAGTAGGAGGGAATTTGTAATGCTATTGCTGCTACTGTCTTGGTTGGGGCAGATTGTTGCTCGTCTGGTAGTTTGCTGATGTATGGTGTTGAGTGCTGGTATGGCAGACTGCTGCTGTATGGTGTTGTGCTGTTAGTAGGAAGGAGTTGTAATGCTATTGCTGGTAGTGTTTTGGTTGGGGTAGTCTGCTGCTGGTCTGGTAGACTGCTGCTGGTGCTACATTGGTTGCTTGATTGTAGCTTATTGCTGCTGCTGCTGCATTGGTAGATTTGTTGGAGCTGCGTTGGTTGTTGTTGCTTTGTTGGATGTATTGTTGTTTTTGTTTTTCCCTTTATCTTGTTTTGGTTGCTTCTGATTGGTTTCTCACCAATCTTGGGCTAGTGCTAGCATATGATTGTGCTCCTTTTGCGGTGCCAACCTAGTTGGGTTCGTTAAGGTTAGCTATGATGCTTAGTGCACTCCCCCGCTTTGTTGATGTAATTTATGCACGTTTTATGCTTTTTATCAATAAAGTTTTTTTGTTGATAAAAAAAAAAAGAGTGAAGAAGATGGCAAGCGATGCAACCGTAGTGTGCCATAAGCAAAACTACGCGTACATGGTGTTTTATTGCCACAAGACACAAACCACAAAGGCGTACAAGGTTTCAAAGGTAGGCATCGATGGAACGAAAGCAGAAGCAGTTGTAGTGTGCCATACCGACACATCGGATTGGAATCCAAAACACTTGGCCTTTCAAGTGCTCAAGGTCAAGCCAGGGACTGTTCCAATTTGCCATTTCCTTCCTGAGGATCATATAGTTTGGGTTCATAACTAAGATTGATCTTTGCAAAAAAGAGTCATCACTACTTGTTTAATTAGTTTTTTATATGTTTGTTTTGCTTGGTTTGGATTGTCATCATAATCTGAAAAACTCTACTCAGATATATATATCGTCTTTACATATACGTATGTACTCTAACAACTCTCCCACCTACATATGCATATGCATATGAGCTTGACATAAAGGTGGCTTGTTTTTCAGTAATAATAGATATGTTGTCCCTGGTGTTTAGCACTACTTAAAACTACTCCAAAATGTTATACAATACCAGAAAAATGCTATGCGTTCAAAATTTATATTTTAATAATTATTCTGAAATTGAGGTTTGTATAGCATATTTAAAGTTGGTATTATATGAGTTATATATGTGATAATAAATGTAGCTCATTGATACAAATTTTTGGATACCTTTTTGGAATTTTTTTTTTTTTTTTTTTTTTTTTTTTTTTTTTTTTTTTTTTGGATTTGAGATTTTCCTTTTTTAGATTGATGATTGATTGATTGATTTTTTTATTTTATTTTTATTAGTAACACATGTTTACAATTTTCCCTATTTTTCAATAGGGTGACAGACTAGGTTGGTTCAGTATCCAGAATTTCCAATAAATCCCTCTCAATTAGTCCTTTTTTTTTTTTGATAGTATTTTGATAGACAATTATACATTTTTATTAATGTGATAGGTATGATGTGATACTTCAATATGACAAGTATTAATATGACACTCCAATGATGTGACACTTAAAAAAAATTTAAAACTCAATAGTATACTTTTCGTAAATGTGACAACGTGGTGGATAAAATGTGACATTTCAAAACTTACTCCAAAAAAAAATAAAAACTCTTTAGTATACTTTTTCCAAATGTGACAACGTGGAAAGTATGATATGACATTTCAAAAAAATAAAAATTCGTTAGTATCTATTACAAGTTGCCTTGCTGGTTATCTATTGCTTGGACGGTTGCATGATATTTTGTAGTGTGTAAATCATTCCAGCAATGCTGTTAATTCAATTCAGCCAGTTTTGGATCTTCCCTACATCCTTGTGGTGTAGTAGGCAAACTTATGTTCATGATAAGAGTGATTCCACATGGAAGTGTGTGCTATATAGTTGCTTGCGTTGTTTTATTTATTTATTTATTTGTTTTTCCTTGTGTTTTTGGCAAGTAGTTTCTTGCATTGGTATTGCAATAGTCTATTTGTTGAAATTATGTTTTGTTTCTTACATGTTTTCTTTGTAACATAATTGCCGGAGAGAAGCAAATGGTTTAAGCCACTTGTGAGTGGTCCTTACTTCCTCATATTATATTTTTGTTTTATTATTTATGTATAATTTTTGCTTATGAAATTTGATGCGTTTCAATTGTTATTATTATTTTCTTGTCCTACATTTTCCAGTAATTAAGAATTTAGTCTCATTTAAAATTTGACATCAGCTGTCCATTGTGCCATGAATATACATTCTCTATCTTCTTTTTGGCTTCTCCTCAGTTTACAAAAAAAATCTGACCGAATAGTCCATGTAATGAAATTATGCCATGCACCCTTTTTCTCATTTCACGGCTCAGATCATTGCACATGTGTGCTTCAACTCATAAAGCTTAAAACGCTGTCGTTTGGTTCCATATACAACACTAACGAAATCCCCTTCTTCCCTTTTCATAGTCGACAGTCCTGTCTCCCTCCTATATCCTTTCCAGTGAGCATGCCCCCCTCCCACCTCCGCTGCCACCCACCCCCGCGACCCCAAAGAAGAAGGAAATTCAAATTTGAGATGGGGTGTCCATCCATTTTTTTGGGGTGCATTTAGAGACACCCTACAAATAAGGATGGGCCACTTCTTTCCTAACCAAATAATTGTTCATAACCTCTAAGATTGTAGACCTATCTAGAAGCTTTCCATTATTTTTATTTCTAGGCTTTTTTTTTTTTTTTTTTTGGTGGTTGTTTATCACAATTTTTTTTGTTAGCTCCAGCATCTACAGCAAAATTTTGTCCTTACTCTAACTTGTAGGAATTAAAGTCGATTTATTCCATTGTTAGTTTATTTTATATTTTGAGTGTTCTTCATCTTCTTCTTCTTCTTCTTCATTTTTTTTTTTTCCTACAGATCAGTAAGTGTTTTCCTCTGCTCTGTTCCTTTCTTCGTCTTCCCTCCGGTGAGTGTTCTTCATCTCTCTCATCTTTTTTATTTCTTTCTCTCTGTTCTTCATGTGCTGTCCTATCTTTATGAATTGCATAAGCACATCAGCAAATGATTTTGATGTTTTTAAAATGCAATTTGAACAAAAAAAATAACAAGGCTTATAAAGGGCAGTTCTGTCTATGACTATGCATTATGCATTATGCTTTTGCTTCAAATCCTCCTAGAACTTCTTTATAAAATCTTTAATCATGATTCATAAAATCTCTAGTTTCGATATTTAATTTTGATTTATAAGTTGGATCCTTTAACCATAATTATATAATAATAATAATAATAATAATAATAATAATAATAATAATAATAATAATAATATTGTCGTACTACAGCCGTACCTATATCATACTTTTTTTGAGTTTTGCCGTATCGGCGTACTTGCACCCGCACCATACTCGTACCCGCACTCGTGCTTCCTAGGTCTCTCCTTTTTTATATCAAAGATAAAATTGATAGTAGTATCTTTTTTCTTTGGGAAATTGCTAAATTTTCAGCCATTGTGGTTGTATCCCAAACCTCTCTCTCACATTGTGGCACCAACATATGAGAGGGAGGGCTGTGGACATAACCATTAAGGTTGTAAATATAACATTTTCTTTTTTCTTTTGGTTGCGATTCAGCCTTGGCAGGAAAGAATGAAGAGTGCACATGAGCAAGGAACACTTGTCCACCTTTCAAATTTGGATCCCTCTCTCCTTTTTTATATCAAAGATAAAATTGATAGTAGTATCTTTTTTCTTTGGGAAATTGCTAAATTTTCAGCCATTGTGGTTGCATCCCAAACCTCTCTCTCACATTGTGGCACCAACATATGAGAGGGAGGGCTGTGGACATAACCATTAAGGTTGTAAATATAGCATTTTCTTTTTTCTTTTGGTTGCGATTCAGCCTTGGCAGGAAAGAATGAAGAGTGCACATGAGCAAGGAACACTTGTCCACCTTTCAAATTTGGATCCAGAATATACTTCAGGAGAAGTGGAGGTAATGTCCATATTATTTGGCAAGATCAATATATCCTGCAGGACTCCTGTGTCAGTTTTCTTTTGCAATTTTTATTGTACATCTAGATTTTTACAATGCTTCAATCTAGGGTGGGTGATTTTATCATCATTATTATTGTAATCATATAGTAGGTGTTCTTTTGAAATTTATGGCTACATACTATCCCAAGTTACAAGATAGTTCACTTGGTGTAATTCTCAGGAAGGTGCCAAATGGAGTAGGCTAGACAGGTTTTTACTCGGCCCAGATTGGTTGTAGAAATTTAACTTTAAACTATGGGGATTACCAAGAAGGCTCTTAGATCATTGTCCTATTTTATTGATGGAAGATGAGAGGGATTGGGGCCCAAAGCCATTTAGGTTTCTAAATCCCTGGACCTTTTATCCGAATTTTAAAATTTTTGTGCAGAAAATATGGGCTGAATCTCATATAAATGGCTGGGCTGGATTCAAATATGTAAGGAAATTGAGATCACTTAAAGCAGCATTGAAAGGATGGAATCTTGAGGTATTTGGTAAGGTGGACTTTAAACTCAAGCAACTGGAGGAGGAGATACATGACTTGGATTTGGTAGCTGAACAAAGACTACTCACTGATACAGAGAGATCTAAGCTAAGGGAGGTAAAAGGAGAAGCATGGAACTTAAGCAAAATGGTAGAATGGTTATGGTTGCAAAAGTCTAGAGCTAACTGGTTATTAAAAGGGGATAGAAATACCAAATTTTTCCATGTTATGGCTTCCTCAAGAAGGAATAGGAATGCATTGTGCTCAATTGAGGTCAATGGGGCCTTGAAAGAAGATCCGGAGGAAATAAGAATTGAAGTACTTAATCACTTTCAGAGGCAGTTTGCAGAATCATGGTTCAATAGGCCAAGCTTATCTGGTCCTTTTAAATCTATTGGGGATGAAGAGGTGCGAGTTGCTTTGGAAGCTGAGTTCACAGAATCTGAAGTTGTGGCAGCTCTTAATAACTGTGATGGTAACAAGGCTCCTGGACCTAATGGCTTTAACCTTATGATGTTCTAGAAGTGCTGGCAAATAATTAAAGGGGATGTGATGCAGTTCATGAGAGAGTTCCATACCAACTCAAAGTTGGTTCTTGGTATTAATAGCTCATTTGTAGCTTTGCTTCCAAAGTATGAAAATCCTTTTTGTCTTAGTGACTTCAGGCCTATTAGTCTCATTGGATCATTGTACAAAGTGTTATCTAAAGTTTTATCCAGTAGACGTAAAGTAGTATTACTTAAGATCATTAGTGAATCTCAATAAGCTTTTATAGGGATAGAAGTATTCTTGATGGCATTTTGGTTGCTAATGAGATAGTTGATGGTTGGAAGAAGGAGCAAAAGAAATGCCTTATTTTAAAGCTTGATCTTGAGAAAGCATTCGATTCAATTAATTGGGAGTTTCTCTTCTCCATGTTATCAAACTTTGGATTTGGGTCAAGATAGATCAAATGGATGAAGGAGTGTGTCTCAACTGTCAAAGTCTCTATCCTGGTGAATGGATTACCTACAGCTGAGTTTAGTCCCCAAAAGGGGCTTAGACAAGGTGATCCGTTATCTCATTTTCTCTTTAACATTGTGGCTGAGGGTCATAACATTCTATTACATAGAGCTGTCCAGTCTAGATTGATTAAGGGTGCATCAGTTGGTTCAAATGACCTTATTATTACTCACTTACAATTTGCTGATGACACAATTTTGTTTTGAAATTGAGGAGGTGCTTAATATCAAAAGAATATTGAGGTGTTTTGAAATTTTGTCTGGGTTAAAGATTAACTATCATAAGAGTGTAGTGTGTGGAGTTGGAATTAATGAAGAGCTCACCAAAGACTTTGCTGCCATCTTGAACTGCTTGTATCATAGGTTACCATTGAAGTATTTAGGGATGCCATTGGGTGCTAATCCAAGGAGAAGAAGGACTTGGCAACTTGTCCTTGATAATTTCAAATCAATGCTAGCTTCTTGGAAGAGAAGGCTCCTTTCTTTCGTTGGTCGGTTGACAATGATCAAGTCTGTGCTGTCCTCATTACCAGTTTTCTCCCTATCTTCGTTTAAAATTCCTGAAGGGTTAGCCAAGGAGATTGATAGAATTCAGTCTAGATTTCTTTCGGGGTGGGGGGTGATGAACTTAGAAGGAAAATTCACATGGTAAAATGGGAGGAAATCACCCAAAGCAAAAGAAATGAGGGTCTTGGCATTAGAAAGGTGAGAACCATGAATGAATGTCTTCTTCTCAAATGGTGGTGGAGATTTGGGTGTGAATCTGGCTCTCTTTGGAAACAAGTAATTCTTAGCAAGTACCCACAGTTCGGTGGGGTTTGGTGGTCAGACCAAGATGCAAATTCTAGTTTATTTATGGTGTGGAGGGATATATTGGGGGTTGCTGTTAAGTGCCCTGAGTTGCTGGAGTTCTTTAAGGCCAACTCAAAGATCATTATTGGGGATGGGAGGCTCACAAAATTTTGGCTGGATCTGTGGGTTGGCAGTGACTGTTTAAAAAATTTATTTCCTAGATTATTCTTTGTGTCTATTGATAAAGGTGAATCAGTGGCAGTGGTTAAGAGCAGGAGAAATGGAAATGAGGAGTGGGATTTGGCTTTCCGAAGAGTATTGTTTCAATGGGAACTTGAAGAGTTAAGGAGGATGAAGGAGTTGTTACAAACTGCTCTAGATCTCAGGAATTGTGTGCTAGATGGTTTGTATTGGGCTGCAGATAAATCTGGTGTCTTCACTGTTGCTTATGTCTACAAGTGGAGTGAGCTACCTTCTACTCTGCCTGCAAAATTGGGGGATCTCATCTGGAAGAATGCTGCCCCTCTGAAAGTGCAATTTTTTGGTTGGTTAGCATGGAAAGGGAGGATCAAGACTTCTAGTTATTCGCAAAGAATTGGAATACTCAGTGCTAATTCAGATGTTAACTGTATATTCTGTAGAAATGAAGTGGAAACTGCCACTCATGTGCTTTTGTGCTGTCCTTTTAGTTGAAGAGTTTGGTCCAATATTATTGGGTAGTGGAGTGTATCTTGGGTGCAATCGAGGTTAGTGTTTGGACTGCTTCAGTGGTGAACTGGTTATAGATGCAACAACAGACTGAAGGTGCTTTGGAAGTTAATCCCAGTGGCAGTGCGTTGGTCTTTATGGAAGCAGAGGAATGAAAACATTTTTAATGACTCACAGGTGGACTTGGAAAAGTTGTGTGAACTTATCAAAACATGGATTGCATTGTGGTTCAGAGCTTATCGTCATTCTTTTTTTTATTCAGTCAATCATTTAGTGTTCAATTTGCAAAATGTGAAATTCTGCATCATGCACTGGTGGGGTATAACCTGTGAACTGCTGCACTCTCTTACTGCTGCTGCTGTACTGATGGGGTTTGTTGGAGCCTCTCTTGCTGCTGTTGCATTGATGGGGTTTGCTGCTGCTAATGTGATGTTGTTTGTGTTGCCTCTCTGGTTTATTTTGTTGTTTTGCTCTGCTCTATTTTAGTTTGGTTTCGCTCTGCTTTGCTACTCCTTTTGGTTTTATTTTCTTTGTTGGTCTCTCATCAGCTAGGAGGTTGGAGCTTTGTTTAGCTCCAAGCTCCTCTTTATTGATGTATCTTTTCATACTTTGTATGGTTTTATCATCAATAAAGTCTTTCGTTTTGCCAATCAAAAAAAAAGAGAGAGACTCATAATTTTTTTCAAATGCTTAGGGCACATTTGACAATGTTGTTAGAAACAATGTTAGGTTAGCTGTTTTGTTGCTACAACGCAAGTGCAAAGTGGCAATAGTTGCCAAAAATTGTGGAAAAAAGGCATTTTCACTTGTTTATTAAACATCCAAATACATAGATGAACAGAGACATGAGTGACTGGTCGTCGCTTCGAATCCCATTACACCAAGGGACAAGGCTTAGTGCGCAATGCAAATTTCTGTGCTTTTTTTCAAAACACTCGATCAAGAAACTCCCAATATAATATTGAAATGCATTTAGATCTGTTTCAAAGATCTAGGAGCATGTGTTTCATAAAGCTTTTGAAAACTTATGAATGCACTAGGTTTCGCTCTCTCAAAAGATGTTGGAATTCATGTTTTCTCTAAAAGGAAAACCTATACCAAAATGTAATTGGATTGAAATACATATGATCGTCTTCATGTGTGCTTAGTAGGATGTCCGATTTGGTATTCAGGCTAAAATGCGCTTTAGGTGGTGGTTGTAGAACCTTTGCAGAAGATGAATTATCACCTTTCGCTCAAGTGGACTTTAAGCACACTTTGAACGGAACTTACACGTCTTTGTAGAACACCCTTGTAGTGTGCTAGAGAGACCTCCCTAGAACTTGGTTTTCTAACTTGTTTTTGATTTATTTGCAACACTACAATAACAAGACAATGTAAAACAATGCTTTGAACACCATTGCTTCCACTTAAAAAAAAATGCTTTTAGCTTATGCTGTGCTCTAGTTTTTGGGGTAAAAGTTCTACGGTGAAGAGCCTGGTCAAGGAAGCCCTATTAAAGAGAACATTTCAGAACTTCAAAGCTCGTGTGATGGCAATCTCGTCCTTAGTTGCAGAGCAACGGATCAAATGGAATTGGCAGGTAATCAAGGCCTTGATTGGAGATAATGGATGGTACTCCTACTCTAACTTTAGTTGCGATCTCTAAGCTGGATTTTCAATCATCTATCCCTTTTCTTCCCTAGCAAGTGAAGAACAAGTGTTAAGCGAGTGAAGTGCCCTATAAGGTATAAGGGCGAGCTATAAATTCCATGAGCAGCGATGGAACTAAACGTTCCAAGTCCATCCAATAGGAATCAGACCTACAAATTTGCCTCTTGTATAGGTTAGGCACTTTAACCATTTAGTCATTGATGCAAAGAGACTCAGCGAGTGAACTAGATTTTGGTATTCCTTCTCGAGCTTCTATTTTTTTCGTTAAAGGAGATTTGAGAAAAGATGGAATAAGAAGATGTATTTTTAGAATGAACAAGATACGGGTTGAGAAGAGGGAGTTAGTGAAGTTAGACAAGATTGGAATGGGCATAGTAACATATATTGATGTACCAAATTGGCTAATGCTCCCAAGTTGATGCGATGTATTCCACCAGTAGACTGAAGACTTGATTATTGGTATATTGATCGGTCCAACACAGATTGAAATAAGAGCCGATGCAGCCTATTTTATGCATTTTGAGGTGAACCAATTAAGTGGAGCAAACGACCTAACTTTTTTGGGTTAAACTAGTAAAGCATGCATTTTCAAATTTTAAGTTGAATAAGTTGCAAATAAGTGGAAAGAAACATGCACAAAGTGTATGAATAATGCTATTATTTGGGAAAGATTTTGTTTCATGCATGTTTATAGTTATTAGCAATGTTATGTGGACTTGGGTACACGACAAATTATTTCTCTCTTGGTATACTTCGTTTATTTTCAAAGGTAAAATGGTGTTCACAAGGTGCCAAAGAGTATTTCATGCATACTATGTGGTTTTATGCCTACCTTTTTCGTCAACTCAAATTACTAAATATGTTTCTTAGGTTAATGGTCAACTAAACATGTTGGGCACACATCTCATACCCTTACGCAAATGTCAAGTGTCCGACACGTGTACTTCATACATTTAGAACAAGCCATGTAACATAAGTTATTAGAGGGCCTACTTCTATATATGAATATAATGACAACTGACAATTCTCATTAAGAACTTACAATGAGTTCTTACACTGGAAGCACAAAGAAGCTTCTAGAGCTAATTTTATACTACCTTGAAGCTTGAAAATAACCAAAACCGTGGTATGGAACCAAATGTGGCTTGTGGGACATAGATTCAACACAAAGCTGATGGATTATTTGCACTTAACAAGTTGACTTTCCTCGGAAGGGGATTTGGTTGTCAAAGGTTCCCCCAAAGTGGCTTTCTTTAGCCTAGTTGGCCACCATGCCCTCCTTTGCTTTACAAAATTTTGTAACACTTTAGTCCTTTTGTTCATCAACTATTTGTTGACTAAACAGAAAATTGTGATGAAAGCGAAAAT